GGGTGTGTTTCCCTCCTTTTGGACGCTCCTGTAGTCTCCGTCCGGTACCGTTTCTCCCCCGACCTCACCCCTCTTTTGCCCCGGGTTTCCTTGCGAGTGGCCCTCGACAGGCACCTGAATCCGTGTCAATGTCGCCGCGTCAGTGGAGCCGCGCGCGGGGCGGGTGGGCGGACGCTCCCGCGCCCAGCTTTTCATTTTCCTCGAACACTCCCCCCGGTCTCCTTTTTATTTTCTTTCTCTTTTTTTTCTTCTCTCCTTTTTGCATTTTTTGTGTCGAGAGGAGGAGAAGGGAGCGAGGAAGGGGGGGTGGGTAGAGGGAGAAAAAATTCGATTTTTAATTACTACCATTAAAAAATCAAATTTGCAATTCTTTGGGCGGCCTGATGGATCTCACTGATTGACAGTTGGAATTGACACTCTGGCTACCTCTTATCTTGGGCATTCACGACAATTTCTAATTGCAGGTAGTTTGTGTGTGTGCGCGTGTTTTTTTTCCCCCTCGGAGGCTTGGATTGCAAGGGAACTAAGCGATTACTTCAAGAGCCACGGGTTAAGTGCAGGGAGAGGGGGAGAGAGAGGGAAAAAAATCCAATCCAAATTCAAATTGCTTCATTAGAGAGACACCGCTTTTGTGGGGAAGGGCTTTAAATGCCCACTACAAAGTTAGGACTCATTGTTCCGCGCCGGTTTATATAACAGGCGCGGGGAGGCGCTGGGCTCAGGCTGAGCCGAGCCAGCTCTGCAGCCGCCGCGCCCGCGCTCCCTCTCCCCTCCCCCAGGTGATGGCCCAGCCAGGGTCCGGCTGCAAGGCGACCACCCGCTGCCTCGAAGGGACCGCGCCGCCCGCCATGGTGAGTTCGCTAGGCCCTGCCTTCGGTCCGCGGCCCGGCCCTGGGGACCTGGCCCGGCTTTCCGGCCCCCAAACCGCTGCTCTTGCGCTGGGGGAATCCCGGAGGCCACAGCCCCTCTCTGAGCCTTGGTTTCCCGGCGGAGAATGTGGGCTGTAACCGCTCCCGACACCCAGGACGCGCGTGTTAACAGTCGAACCCGTCCCTTCCTCGCCAAGAGACCCTTCCATTCCTATTCTCTGGCACACGGCACGAGGCCTCGGGGGGATTTCGTTGTCAGTTGGTGCGCTGGGGCCCCAGATTTGTCTTTGAGGCAGCTGCAGCGCTGGGCCCCGCACTCAGCGCTGGGCTGTCCCTCTCTCCCCCACTGCAGGCTCAGTCAGACGCCGAGGCCCTGGCAGGCGCTCTGGACAAAGATGAGGGTAGGGCCTCCCCCTGTACCCCCAGCACGCCATCTGTCTGCTCACCACCCTCTGCCGCCTCCTCCGTGCCGTCCGCCGGCAAGAACATCTGCTCCAGCTGCGGCCTCGAGATCCTGGACCGGTATCTGCTCAAGGTGAACCAGGGGCGGGGTGTTGCGTGTGTGCTGGCGGGTGTGGGCTGCAGCCCAGAAGGCTGCACTTAGTGATGAGTATTGGCTCAGCCGCTGCCTGACTGCTGGGCTTTGGGCTAGTCTTAGAGTCTCCCTGCGCCCCGGGGGTCCCGTCTGGAAAAAAAAAACCGGGAAGAGTTTATTTCTACCTCCCCAGCCTCAGTGTTACGGAAGGAAAGTGGGGGAGTCACACGCACCGTCAGAGCTCCAGCGACTCTGTCTGCAAATGGGGCCAGGGAGGCTGGGGCCTGGCGTGAAAGGAGGCCTGCGCTGAGCCGCCCCCACTCCGCCCCCTCCCCAGGTCAACAACCTCATCTGGCACGTGCGGTGCCTCGAGTGCTCCGTGTGTCGCACGTCGCTGAGACAGCAGAACAGCTGCTACATCAAGAACAAGGAAATCTTCTGCAAGATGGACTACTTCAGGTAGGCTGCGGCCGCCAGGCCAGCAGTGTCGCCGCAGGCAGGCCCCCGGCGCGCATGGAAGCCTCCTTTGGGGCGCGTGGTGTCTGGCTCCGGAGCCCCCGAGTCCAGAGTGCGCTCCCGGCGCGCGGCGCGGGCCCGGCCCGCT